GCAGGACCAACTGTAGTTGCCACAGCGAGTCTAGTTGGGGATTTGTACATACTTGACGTCATGAATGAAACCTTTTCTGCTCACGTAGTTACCCTGCAGACGCTACATGAACGCATGGCCCATGTTAATGTACAAGGAATCGCATCAATGATTCACAATAATGTGGTAAGTGGCATCAACGTTCGTCAAAGCGATGTCATCAGTGCAATGAATCCGAAGTCTGACAATCACTCTCCCATTTGTCCTGCGTGTGTGTTTGGCAAAGCAACGCGATCAGTAATCCCGAAACAGCGATCATCGTCTCGAGCACAGAACTGTCTTGACTTGGTACATTCTGACGTTTGCGGTCCGCTCGAAGTACAGTCGATTGGTGGTTCCAGATACTTCATTACATTTGTAGATGATCACTCGAACTGGGTAGTTGTGTACACGATGAGAAATAAATCTGAGGCGTTTGCAAAATACAAGTTGTATGAAAAGTTGGCTCAAACCCACACTGGTCGCAAAGTAAAGGTGCTTCGCACTGATCGAGGGGGAGAGTACTTGTCGACGGAATTCAAGTCGCATTTAGATTTAAACGGTACGCAGCACCAACTCACAACGGCGTACACCCCTGAACAAAACGGTGTTGCTGAACGTTTAAATCGAACTTTGATTGATCTTGTCCGCTCAATGCTTTCTCATAAACAGGTCAGTAAGCGATTCTGGGCCGAGGCTCTTGCCACTTCGGTATATGTACGTAATCGAGTTACTTCACGCGCTTTGCCCGTTAATACAACTCCGCACCACATTTGGATGAATTCCGCTCCAAATGTTGGCCATTTGCGAGTATTTGGGTCAAAATGTTGGTATACATTACCAAAATTAGAGCTCCGCAAGCTGGACTTGCGAGCGCGTGAAGCGATGTTTCTTGGGTATTCGCAATGCAGTAAGGCATACAAACTTTGGGACGGAGAGTTGAATAAAATTGTTGTGTCACGGGATGTCAAGTTTGATGAATCGACATGTGGTATGCATGACATTCCTGCACACGAAGGTGATTCAATCAACTCTGATTTTGACGTTGTACTGCTCGATGGCGACAATGGAAATACAGCTGATACCCCAAATACGGATGAGGTCGGTTCTGAAGAGGATGAAGTTTCGGAGGAGGTTCTTGAAAACGATGGTGCTCATTCTGTAAGTGAGAATGATGAAGATGAAGATGATGTACCAACTGCCGTCGAAACTCCGAATGTCACTCCTCCAACTCCGACTCCAGCTGTGCGAAGATCGTCTCGAGTCAGCAGACCTCCCGGATCATGGTGGAGGAGCAACTTTGCAGCTGCTCTTCTTTCACATGCGCATGTCGCTATTGAAGGTCCCAAGACTTTCAACCAGGCAACCAACGGTCCTAGAGCTGCATTTTGGCAGACCGGCATTGACAAAGAACTTGCCTCGCAGACTAAGAATCGGACTTGGAAACTTGTTCCTCGATCTGAGGCGTCAAACATCTTGACATCTCGATGGGTTTTCAATGTCAAGCAACTGCCTGATGCAAATGGCAATATAGTTAAAAGTGCAAAAGCCAGACTTGTTGCTCGTGGATTCCAGCAAGTGCAAGGTCTTGACTATACTGAGACATATGCCCCTGTCATAAAGTTTACCACTATTCGTCTACTTCTTGCTTTAGTTGCTCATTACGACCTCGAACTTCATCAGATGGATGTCGTGACTGCGTTTTTGAACGGCGACTTGGATGAAGACATCTACATGGAGCAACCCGAAAGGTGCATTGACAAAAGCAAAAGTGACCACGTGTGTAAACTTTTGAAAGCACTTTACGGTCTTAAACAAGCACATCGTCAATGGCATGCCAAAGTGGATGATTTCTTAATTGGTGAATTGGGATTCGAGACTTCGCGTAGTGATCCTTGTCTCTACATTAAACGCATCGGTAACACTATCATGCTGATTGCACTTTATGTCGATGACTTGTTACTCGCCGGTAGTGATATCGATGCCATCAAATGGATGAAGGGAGAGCTTAATAAACGGTTTGAGATGAAAGACCTTGGTGAAGCAAAAGTCTGCATTGGTCTTGAAATTCAAAGGGATCGCAGCGCCAAGACTTTGAGTCTCACTCAAACTAAGTATGCATCAAATGTGCTTGACCGTTTTAAAATGTCGACTTGTAACCCTTCTCTGACTCCAATGGAACAAGGTCACACAACCACGATTTCTACCGAAAACGACTCCGAAACAAACGCACCGTATCGTGAGGCAGTGGGATCCCTGATGTACTTGATGGTTGGCACTCGTCCAGACTTGGCATATGCGATTGGAAAGCTTTCTCAACATTCTGCCAACCCATGTGAGTCACACTGGGCAAGTGTGAAACGGGTAATGCGATACGTGCAAGGGACTCGAAACTTAGGAATCGTGTTTGACAATAAATCCAAATCGCCGGAGTTGTTCGGCTTCAGTGATGCTGACTGGGCCGGTTGTTCAGACTCTCGCAAGTCGACCAGCGGATATGTTTTCAAGTTCTGCGGTGGAGCGATCAGTTGGAGTTCCCGGAAACAGACTGTGGTTGCAACTTCGACGTGTGAAGCTGAGTACATTGCACTATGTGAAGCGTGTAAGGAGGCGACTTGGTTGCGTCAAGTGGTTGCTGATGTTCTTGGACTTGATTCTGATCCCACGATTGTGATGGGGTGTGACAATGCAGGGACTATTTCGTATGCACAGAATGAATCGGTCAACCGTCGTAACAAACATGTTGATGTGAAATACCACTATGTACGAGATGCAATTAAGAGAAACGTCATTTCTTTGTCACATTGCCCGACCACTTCCATGCCTGCAGATATCCTGACGAAAGCACTTGGGCGAGTTCTGTTCCAGAAGTTTGTAGAACTTCTAGGGCTTGCAGTAGCTACTTCTGGTAAAAGCATGTGATCGAGGGGGAGTGTTGTAATTCTACGACCACATGCTGATATGCATGACACACGACGACAGGTATGACACGTGTAAAAGCAAAAACACTCCGCGTGACGAGCTGAGCAAGTTTGATTTTCAACGTGTACACGTGTGATTTCTGTACACGGTTGCACTCTACAGTACTTCAGGAGCAAGTTTGGTTTTCAACCTGTACACGTGTGAAATATGTACACAGTTGCGGTGTACTGTACAATCTGAGCATGTTTCATTTTCTCCGCCCGACACGTGTATGACCTGCACACATGTCCTCATTACACTGTCGGACGCGTACAGTACGCCTGCAGTCTTACAGACAAAGTGTAGAACCTTGGTGGCGGGTGCCTGGCACGTGCCAAAGGTTTACAGCGTCCATGGAGTGCAGCACGGCTACAGCAGGACACAAAGATACCGTTGCGCGAGTTTTCAATTCGTAAGGCAAAATGTGCACTGTTGTAATTGACAGTGGACAGGACCTCACGAGAGATTCAGATTCATAAGGCAACGTGTGCGCTGTAAACAGTCCTTGCAGGATTGATTTGAATTCGTAAGGCAACGTGTGAGCTGTAAACGTGCCTTACGAATTTGTGCCACGCTGGATTTGGAATAGTAAGGGAATTTGTGCTTTGCTGTGCTTTGTTGTACTGCCTTACTAATTTCTCCGTCATGACAGTGCTAATTCGTAAGGCGGTTTTCTGTTCTGTTTGTTGGGCCATCGCCAGTTTGGTAGAGTTCTAGAAGATTGCAGAAGTGTATAAGTAGTGCCAGAAGTTGGCGACTCAAAGTATTTGGTAGTAGAGTTCTAGAAGATTGCAGAAGTGTATAAGTAGTGCCAGAAGTTGGCGACTCAAAGTAAATCGGTACCCAATCCTTCAACTTCACCTCATCAACCGTCCTTCGAATCCCCTTCGCCCCGCTGACCTTCGTGTTTGTTTCTGCTGTCGTTCTCGTTTTGGTCCCCGCTGTCGTTCTCGTTTTGGTTTCTGCTGTCGTTCTCGTTTTTGTTTCTGCTGTCGTTCTCGTTTTGGTCCCTGCTGTCGTTCTCGTTTTGGTTTCTGCTGTCGTTTCCGCCGCCGTTTCATCGCCGCCGCCGTTCGTTTTGTTCTATCGCCGTCTACTTGCTGTCGTTTCCGCCGCCGTTTCATCGCCGCCGCCGTTCGTTTTGTTCTATCGCCGTCTACTTGCTGTCGTTATCATCTTGGTCGTTCGTCTTCGTCTACCCGCTGTCGTTTCAACTTGGTGGATCTTCTTCGTGTCTGTTGCAAGAAGACTGCCCTTCGATCACGCCGGTGATCGTCGTAGCTGCCGATACCCTCGCTCTTGGTGAAAGGCTTGTGCCATTGGAAATCTGACTTGAGCGAGGGTCCGACCAAGAATCGTCGAGAGACGAAACACTGATCCTCGGGGAGGATCACAGTGTACTGGTCTAGTCGATCCGCACTCTGCCTTCGGGAGGTGCGTCGGCGGTGTGGGTAACGCTCTCGGTATTAGCCCTATAGGTACGACTTCGGTCCCCTGGGTGAAGAGAATACGTGCCTAAACACTGAACCTCTCACTATACGTGTATAAGGTCGCGTACCTTGATTAAGTTCGCACGGAAGAGGGTGACCCTAGGCGTGATTGTGAACAAATCACACGAGTACGACGAAGGCAGTTTCATTCTTGTGTTGTGGGAAACCTCATTGGGGTAGTACCGTATCAAGTTTGGACAAGCCGATTTCGGTTGCAGGGACCGTTCGCGGTAGTGACCAAAAGTCCTGGTTCGTCTACAGGCAAAGTGTTGTGCTTACTCGTGGCACGTTTGATTTAGTTCACAGTCGAAAGACCCGCACTGGGCGACATACAGGGGTAGCGCCCTAAGGCATTTTTAAGAAGAATACGCTTGTTCCACTCCGCCGGGAACAAGCACCAAGAACGTTTCCGAGTAATCGCTACAAACTTCTTATACGGGTGGGCTTGCCATTGTGTTGACTATCGGTTAACGGCTTGGGATCCCGGAACAGAAGACCTTGTATACTCGAAGGGTACATCCATTCGGCGAAATGGATGACCAAAGCTCTGGATCGGTCAGAATCGAGAAGCTGACCGCATCTAACTTTTACATCTGGAAGCAGAAAATCCAGCTACTGCTTGCTCTCCGAGATGTCGATCAATACGTTTTTGATGATATCCCGGAGAATGCGATGTCAGATGACCGGAGAAAATGGATCCGTGGTGACGCAAAAGCAAAGGCAGTCATCGGACTCACGCTTTCTGATGACTACTTGCAACATGTGCGAGGGTGTAGCAGTGCGAAAGAGACATGGGAAGCAATTCTGAATGTGTTTGAGCGTCATACTTTGCTCAACAAACTTGCCGCCCGTCGCGACTTTTACACTGTATCCATGCTCCCATCCGAGAAAGTGCTCGTGTTCATCAATCGTGTGAAGCAACTTGCTGCCAGATTGCAGTCAATGAGTGTTGAGATTGACGATAAAGAAATTGCAATGGCTGTGTTGAATGGCTTGCCTCCACGATTCGATAACTTGATTGTTGCTCTTGACGCACTTGGCAATGAAGATAAAGTGTTTGGACTCGAGTTTGTGAAGAGTCGTCTGCTGCAAGAAGAACAACGAGAAAGCATGAAGACCGCTTCTGCTTCATCACCACATGCACCTGCACTTGTCAATCGTATGCCTATTCGACGCGATATGAAATGTACGAATTGCAATAGACATGGGCATACTGCAGCGCGTTGCTGGGGCAAGGACGTGAATGGGCGCCGACCTGCACCGCCAGATGGGTTTCGGTCACGCAACACTGGCTTAAAGCCAAGTGCATTCGTTTCTCGAGATGACAATTCTACTGCTGCCTTTGCGGAGAGTGACTTTACTTGCTTGCTTTCGACTTCCACTCCAGAAAAGAGGGCTGCAAACGAAAGGTCATGGCTTGTCGATTCCGGTTGCAGCGCTCACATTACGTTTGATCGCTCTTTGTTCGTTACGTATGAACAGATGCAATCTGGATCAGTCGAGATGGGCACGAAGGCTAGAGCTAATGTCGCTGGGCGCGGCGAGGTCGAATTCATGTTGAACGTCAACGGTAGTCCCCATCCTTGCAAATTGTCAAACGTTTTGCATGTCCCTGATTTCGGATATTCGCTACTGTCTGTTAGCCAAATGGTTTCGAAGGGTTTGCAAGTGTCATTTGAAAATGAGAAATGCTGCGTTACTGCAGGACCAACTGTAGTTGCCACAGCGAGTCTAGTTGGGGATTTGTACATACTTGACGTCATGAATGAAACCTTTTCTGCTCACGTAGTTACCCTGCAGACGCTACATGAACGCATGGCCCATGTTAATGTACAAGGAATCGCATCAATGATTCACAATAATGTGGTAAGTGGCATCAACGTTCGTCAAAGCGATGTGATCAGTGCAATGAATCCGAAGTCTGACAATCACTCTCCCATTTGTCCTGCGTGTGTGTTTGGCAAAGCAACGCGATCAGTAATCCCAAAACAGCGATCATCGTCTCGAGCACAGAACTGTCTTGACTTGGTACATTCTGACGTTTGCGGTCCGCTCGAAGTACAGTCCATTGGTGGTTCCAGATACTTCATTACATTTGTAGATGATCACTCGAACTGGGTAGTTGTGTACACGATGAGAAATAAATCTGAGGCGTTTGCAAAATACAAGTTGTATGAAAAGTTGGCTCAAACCCACACTGGTCGCAAAGTAAAGGTGCTTCGCACTGATCGAGGGGGAGAGTACTTGTCGACGGAATTCAAGTCGCATTTAGATTTAAACGGTACGCAGCACCAACTCACAACGGCGTACACCCCTGAACAAAACGGTGTTGCTGAACGTTTAAATCGAACTTTGATTGATCTTGTCCGCTCAATGCTTTCTCATAAACAGGTCAGTAAGCGATTCTGGGCCGAGGCTCTTGCCACTTCGGTATATGTACGTAATCGAGTTACTTCACGCGCTTTGCCCGTTAATACAACTCCGCACCACATTTGGATGAATTGTACTCCAAATGTTGGCCATTTGCGAGTATTTGGGTCAAAATGTTGGTATACATTACCAAAATTAGAGCTCCGCAAGCTGGACTTGCGAGCGCGTGAAGCGATGTTTCTTGGGTATTCGCAATGCAGTAAGGCATACAAACTTTGGGACGGAGAGTTGAATAAAATTGTTGTGTCACGGGATGTCAAGTTTGATGAGAAATGTGGGATGCATGACATTCCTGCACACGAAGGTGATTCAATCAACTCTGATGTTGACGTTGTATTGCTCGGTGGCGACAATGGGAATACAGCTGATACCCCAAATACGGATGAGGTTGATTCTGAAGAGAATGAAGTTTCGGAGGAGGTTCTTGAAAACGACGGCGCTCATTCTGTCAGTGAGAATGATGAAGATGAAGATTATGTACCAACTGCCGTCGAAACTCCGAATGTCACCCCTCCAACTCCGACTCCAGCTGTACGAAGGTCGTCTCGAGTCAGCAGACCTCCCGGATCATGGTGGAGGAGCAACTTTGCAGCTGTTCTTCTTTCACATGCGCATGTCGCAATTGAAGGTCCCAAGACTTTCAACCAGGCAACCAACGTATTGAAAATGTGCGACCACATGCTGTTATCTGAAAAGGTCAAAATCGAGTGACACGTGTACATGACTGCACGGTCCGGGCGCTCTTACCCATATCACGACATGACATGTGTAAAATCCCAGATTATGGGGTTCCGGGGACGAAAGTGGCCTCTCGGAGGGTCATGCAAATTTGCATAGTTTTGCCAAGTGGAACCTTGGCCCGTAGCACTATAGACTACACAGGAAATACTGCAATTCTATTGGCCCTCAGGTCTAATGCTGCAAATCTATTGGTCGAACGTTGTCCACGTGTGCGTCATTGGCCTTGTGATGTACTTTAAATGGCCTGTATATGCGATAACTACGTTGTTTTGGGGGTTTCAAGTGGTTTGCCATGGTTGTAATGGGTAATTGCATGGGGCCCCCGGGCGAGACACATGTATGCCGTGTACACATGTACACGTCGCCAGGTGGATTCGTGTACGTACGCATGTACACGCATCCAGGTGTATGCACATGAGGGTTTACAGTTTTACAGTGTCAGACTGTTTGCGATCCTGCGCGTGTCCGAGTACAGTACATGTGAATCAAAAGTACAACAAGTACTTCTCGCGAGAGGAATACAGTTGTGCGATTATTCTGTGTACGCGTCACGCTGTATGCGAGTCTTGCGTGAGCACGCGCCGTTGCACTGTGCTCTCGTCATGGTGCGCCGTTGGATGCAAGTTCATGACAGTACTCGTGTGATTTACATGTATTCTCATGTGAGTTGTGTAGAAAGTCTGGATGCACATTGTTATAACTTGCCATAATTATCTGACAGTGCTTGGCGAAATTAGTAAGGTGAGAAACAAGGATACGTATGGCGATTGTGATATGAAAGACGTTTGCGTTGTTGGAAATAGACAAGTGCCAAGTTGTTCGTTGCACAACAATGAAGTCTGGCATGACTGGATGCAGATTAGTAAGGTGTGAAACAGTTGCATGCATAGGGCCATGGTTTACAGTCATTTGGAATGTGTAGAAATAGTTGTGAGCTAATAGTTACGAATCGATTCGTAAGGTGGAAATCGAACAGTATGGTCGGGCCACAAGAGGACCGCGCTTGGTCGCGCATAGTAGAGTATGGTTTACTGGGAGTCGGAGTAGAGCGATAGTGTAGCACTCGAAGTGTATAAGTATCGCAGGAAAACGGCTTCAAAGTAGACCTCGGCACCAACTCCTTCACTCACACACATCAACTTGCCTTCCTTCTTTCCCTTGCCCCTCCGAACCTACCATTAGGTTATGGGCCCAGTCCCTCGCTGTCGTTTCACTGCATGAGTCTGTCGTTCTCGTTCCGTTGTTTCTGCCGTCGTTGCCGCTGTCGTTTTCGCTGCCGTTTCTCGTCGTTCTTTCCGCTGGTCTTCTCGCTGTCGTTGTCGCTCTCGTTCTTGCCGTCGTTCTTGGTTTTGGTTTTCGCTCTCGTTCTTGCCGTCGTTCTTGGTCTCTTGTGTGAATTGGTTTTGGTCATCGCTCCCGCTGTCTTCGTTGTCTTCGTTCTTGGTTTGGCTTTCGTTCTTGCTGTGGTTCTTGCTGCTGTCTCTGTCTTTGGTCTTTGTCTTCGTTTGCGCTCCCGCTACCGCCGTCGTCGTCAATCTCGCATTTGGTTTTTCTTCGTTCTCTCATGCAAAGTAAGTTTTGAGTTTTTTTCCATTTCCTACACATCTAAGTGATTGTCTTTGCACGTTTTGGTGGTTCTTAAGAGCAATAATTCCAAAATCTGTTACTGACGATTATCTTCATATTCCTTATTGTGAATACCTGTTTTTACGGGGTTGTGTTAGATCTGGAATTAGTACCGGTGCGCTCTGCGCCTGGGAAGCTGGTCACCGGTCGAACGGTTCGAACATCGGAGGTCGTATCCGTTGAGGTGCTTGAGCCTGAGGATCAACCTTCACCTCGGCTCGCGCTTCCGGGTCCGTCCTCGAGTTGCGCACCATATAGGATTCCTCGTATTCCGCGCTCTGTTCCCGCACCAATAAAGAGAACTACGCATCGACTTTCTGCTCGGAAAGCGGCTGTTCTCGCGGATAAAGAGTTTAAGCGTGAGCGCAAGAGGAATCGAATCGTAAGGTGTGCCCGCGGTATAAGCGGTATTGTAAAGTGTGCGGCGTTAGTGGCAATAGTGCGAAGGCCTTTTACGACCACATTCAGTCTAGGTCTCATCGCATTCAAATTGCCAACGCTAAGGAGACTCCGCGTTGTATCCCTTGCAATCGCGTCTTTCAGTCTCACGGCTACCTGAAGTGCCATGAGAACGGTGCCGCACACCTAAAGGTAGTTTGTGAACAGAATAGTTAGGGATTTCATTCAAATAAATTCACATATCTGTTCGCAAATTGCTCCTAGTGCAACTTCATAGTATTCATATCGAATTTCTTAGACGGGTGGGCTTGCCATTGTGTTGACTATCGGTTAACGGCTTGGGATCCCCGAACGGATTTTCAAATACTTGAAGTTTATTTGCACTAAAATGGAAGATCAAGGAGGAGGAGGATCCATCAGAATCGACAAACTGACGGACTCCTACGTAGAAACGTATGGAAGCAGAAAATACAACTTCTGCTTGCTCTACGTGATGTTGACCAATACATTGTTGAGGGAAGAGTTCCGAGTGATGAACACCCTGACGAGCGTAGGAAGTGGGTCAGAGGTGACAGTAAAGCTAAAGCACTGATTGGTCTCTCCCTATCAGATGAGCATCTTGAGCATGTACGTGATGTTGATACTGCTCATGAGATGTGGGAAGCTATTTTCAACGTGTTTGAGAGGCACACTTTGCTGAACAAACTAGCTGCACGTCGTGAGTTCTACACTGTGAAGATGCTTTCCGGTGAAAAGGTGCTTGCATACATCAATCGTGTCAAGCAGCTGGCAGCCATCCTCAAGTCAATGAGCGTAAACATCGATGACAAGGAGATGGCCATGGCAGTGCTCAACGGTCTGCCTGCCCGTTTCGAGGCTCTCATCGTTGCACTTGATGCTCTCGGTAATGAGGAAAAGATATTCAGTTTGGACTTTGTGAAAAGTCGTCTGCTGCAGGAAGAGCAACGAGAAAACATGAAGTGTAGCTCCTCACAGACATCGGCTCTGGTTAATCGTGCCCCGAACAATCGGGACATAAACGATTACAAATGCACGAACTGCGGTCATACAGGCCATACGGCAACCCGCTGCTGGGGAAAGGATTTGAATGGGCGTCGCCCGGCTCCTCCTAGCGGATATAAACCGCGTATGTCTCAGCAGAAACAATCTGCATTTGTCACACAGAAACCTGATCCCGACATGGTTGTAAACAGCGTCGACTTCACATGTCTGATGTCGAAAGCTTCGCACACGAACGATCTGGAGATGTCGCCTTCGTGGCTCGTAGATTCAGCTTGTACAGCTCATATTACATATGACCGATCTTTTTTTGCAACGTATGAGCCACTTGAATCCGCCTCTGTTCAGATGGGAACCAAGGCTAGTGCAAAGGTTGCCGGCCGTGGTGACGTTCACTTGAAGTTAAATGTGAATGGCCGCATCGAACCGTGCAAGTTGACGGATGTATTGCACGTTCCGGACTTTGCGTTCTCTCTGCTCTCTGTCAGTCGAATGACTGAACTTGGACTAAAAGTTGGGTTCGAAAATGGAAAATGCATGATCAGACGAGGCTCAACTGTAGTAGCGACTGCGACATTGGTTGGAGAACTTTACGTTCTCGACATCGTTAGTGACATCGGATCTGCACATGCTGCCACCCTGCAAACGTGGCATGAGCGCTATGCACATGTATTGAAAATGTGCGACCACATGCTGTTATCTGAAAAGGTCAAAATCGAGTGACACGTGTCCATGACTGCACGGTCCGGGCGCTCTTACCCATATCACGACATGACACGTGTAAAATCCCAGATTATGGGGTTCCGGGGACGAAAGTGGCCTCTCGGAGGGTCATGCAAATTTGCATAGTTTTGCCAAGTGGAACCTTGGCCCGTAGCACTATAGACTACACAGGAAATACTGCAATTCTATTGGCCCTCAGGTCTAATGCTGCAAATCTATTGGTCGAGCGTTGTCCACGTGTGCGTCATTGGCCTTGTGATGTACTTTAAGTGGCCTGTATATGCCATAATTACGTTGTTTTGGGGGTTTCAAGTGGTTTGCCACGGTTGTAATGGGTAATTGCATGGGGCCCCCGGGCGAGACACATGTATGCCGTGTACACATGTACACGTCGCCAGGTGGATTCGTGTACGTACGCATGTACACGCATCCAGGTGTATGCACATGAGGGTTTACAGTTTTACAGTGTCAGACTGTTTGCGATCCTGCGCGTGTCCGAGTACAGTACATGTGAATCAAAAGTACAACAAGTACTTGTCGCGAGAGGAATACAGTTGTGCGATTATTCTGTGTACGCGTCACGCTGTATGCGAGTCTTGCGTGAGCACGCGCCGTTGCACTGTGCTCTCGTCATGGTGCGCCGTTGGATGCAAGTTCATGACAGTACTCGTGTGATCTACATGTATTCTCATGTGAGTTGTGTAGAAAGTCTGGATGCACATTGTTATAACTTGCCATAATTATCTGACAGTGCTTGGCGAAATTAGTAAGGTGAGAAACAAGGATACGTATGGCGATTGTGATATGAAAGACGTTTGCGTTGTTGGAAATAGACAAGTGCCAAGTTGTTCGTTGCACAACAATGAAGTCTGGCATGACTGGATGCAGATTAGTAAGGTGTGAAACAGTTGCATGCATAGGGCCATGGTTTACAGTCATTTGGAATGTGTAGAAATAGTTGTGAGCTAATAGTTACGAATCGATTCGTAAGGTGGAAATCGAACAGTATGGTCGGGCCACAAGAGGACCGCGCTTGGTCGCGCATAGTAGAGTATGGTTTACTGGGAGTCGGAGTAGAGCGATAGTGTAGCACTCGAAGTGTATAAGTATCGCAGGAAAACGGCTTCAAAGTAAACCTCGGCACCAACTCCTTCACTCACACACATCAACTTGCCTTCCTTCTTTTCCTTGCCCCTCCGAAC